GCGGAGTAGGGATGGGCGATAAATAAAGTGACCGTGCGATTTTGTTTCTCGATCGAAGTGATAAATTATCACTGAGACAAATGTCATTGCGTAGCTTTTAAACGCAAAAGTTTGCATTTATTCTTTGCGTATTCATCACTTCACTCAAAGCTATCGAGAAAATATCACTCCATGAAGACTTGATTTCGTGACAGAATCGACAAATGTGACAGAGATGTAGCATCTCAACCAATCAGCAAACGAGATTTTATAGCTATCGAGTTTTTTTCGATCGAGAAACAAAATTGCAGCCATAGGGGTGCGATTTTGTTTCTCGTGAAAAACGAGCAAAGTGATAAAATATCACTTCACACGTCAAATGTATCACTTGTTATCCTAAAAGCGATTTTGTTTCGTCATTTTATCATCTCATTAATCGAAAACTTATCACGCCATCATACTCTAGCGATAAATCGTCTTTAACCTCAAATTTTTGACGGCATATGCGTCATTGTTGGGATTTTGCTGGCTGGCAGTTTTTTGGGAAGATAAGCGACTAATTTTTAAGAAAGTTGTTGAGGTAATAATAATTAATAATACTTTTATTCATAGCAGAATTATTATGACTAATAGTCACGTGTTTTATTACAAAAAAAAAAAAAACAAAGTTATGCAATTAAACATTTATTTCCCTAAAAATCCATAATTCACATCAGATTTAGATGGAAAAGAAACGCCTCGGAAGGCCTACGTTCGAACAAAATGTGATCCTGGTAAGTTTTAAAAATTTAAAATTAGTCAGGTCCCAAGAGAAAAATACTAGTAGTAAAGTTGTGGAAATCGCTTACAGCCGTATTAAATGCTAATGGGGGCAGGGGCGTGCTGGCCCGCCGGGATACCCGGAGAAGTCCCGGTGGCCTGCACCATCCTGTTGTGAGCCACCACGCCATTCGTTGTCCAAATTTCTTCCAATAAATATTAAAAAATATACAGGGTCATTATAAAATATTGTAGTCAACTCACCTATGAAAAACAAATGAAATTTTTCTCGTGCCGCTAATCACCAAAATGATTTGAACTGTTTTGAAATGTCACGAACGTCCAAACAAATCTGTCAGATGTGTCAAAAATTGAAATGCCCGGTTCGCGGTTTAATTTCATTTTAAATAGACACGAAAAGACGCCAGGCCAGAGCATTAAGGGTTGCAGTGTTATCGAGCATTTGTGAACGCCACTGCAATACATTTCAGTTTCAAAAATTGTAAATTGTCAGAAAAACGTTTAAGGGCTTTGTCATGAATTACACCTTGGAAAGTCGATTGGAGTTGAACAGAATAAATCATCTGGTCTGTTTTGCAAAGAAACAATAATTTTTCAAATAATGAAATCCAAAAAGTGAGGTTAAGTTTGTCGAAACCAATGAACACGGTAATTATTTAAAAAATTACATTTTTATAGGTACCCTGAAGGTAAAAATTGTGAAAAATCACGTAATGGACAATGGCAGAGCAAGTCTTATCACAGTTAACGAACACTATGAGTACCTAATGAGTTTTTGCAGTAAATAATTTTGCCAAAGTTGTGATCCCGCGAAAGTTCTGTTTGTAAATTGTAAGGAATCGTCAAAATATTGGTGCAGACATGGTTTGTGACCGGTGCTTTTCTCTTGAAAAAACACAACTGAAATCCTTGATCTTCATCCCTACAATAGGTGAAAACTGCTATGTCCAAACATTACCTTCAGCTTTGCAGTTTCTAGATATCTGAAACATGCCAGATCTGCATAACAGGAATGTCAAAGAGGTTCTACCCAAAACACGCCCACATGGCCATCCTAATATCAAGATTTTTCAAAATTTCTATAAGAAAAAAGATGAAAAAACCAATAAAATTTCAGGAGCATAGTGTTAAGAGTTCTGTAGCTGATTATGAGATCTCTTGAAACAACAGAATGTTTAATAAAGATTTTTAACTTTCCTAATAGTAAAATTACAATTATTACTAAACAGTAAGTTGAAGTAAGTTTTAAATTAAGAGAATGCAACTAACACCGAAAGAAAAATGAAAGTTACTGAAAATAAAAAACTTTATTGCAGTACCTACATACACTTTCTACATCTAATTTTGTTTATTGATCACATTCATTTACTTGAAAAAGTATCAGGCCTATGAATCGTCGTCTGCTAACCACACACCAACCTTCATTGCGTGTGATGGTGTTTCTTCAAAAGCGTGAGTATTTTCTATACACCAAATTCTGAAGTTCTGTCAGTTGACATAATAGCCTAACAGATGAAACCAGGCTTCATCAGAAAAGAACGACAAATCGAGAATCCCGTTATCGTCCATATCAGCTTGAAACCAACTACACTACCCAACGCGGCAAGGAAAATCAGCTGGTTACAGCTCCTGAACCAACAAAATCTTGTATGGATGCATATGTAACTTCTCTTTTACGATTTTCTGACATGGGCTGTATGGTACTCCGGACAGTAAAGATTTTTGACAAAGCTTTATTCGGACTTTGTTCCATTCTCATCCTTAAATCTTCAACAACGTCTTCACTAACTTGAGGTCTCCCCGTCGGTTTTCACTTAGAAATGCTACCAGTGTCGTTAAATCTGGCCATAATTCGCCATATAGCGTCTTCAAAGATTCTTCATCAATGACAACAGAACATTTCACTAGATACTCGTTTTTAGACGCCTCCACAGAGTACACTCCATCCCCATCCTCATTTAACACCCCATTACGGTAATAGGCATGATGATTGCGCCAAAGAACTAAAAAAATCATTTGTAACACTGACCATAGTTATTCCTCTCTGTTCATTACCTGAGATTATTCCACAATGATCTGTAGTTTTGATAAAAACTGTTTTTTGAGACACTTATTAAAGTTCTAACAAAGGGGAAGACAGCAAAAATGAAAACAAGACAAGTCAATTAACGCACAAAGTGAGGGAAAACGTACCAGTACAAACGAAAAAATTATTGACATCTGACAGAATTTGATGAAGCGTTGAAACAGTGCAGCCGCTAATGTCAACTAATGTGGCGCTAAAAATAAAAATTCCAATATTAGTGTAATCCTTTCCACAAAACTGAAAAAGGCGGCACAAAATGTCACCAAAATCATGGCCTTCTTCGACTACAATATTTTATAATGACCCTGTATATTACTTTATACATATATTACAATTTCCGCTTAAATTGCAAAGTGCATTATGAAAGCAGGGGGGGAACCTTTTATTATAGCCGTCTTGCTGCTTTGTCGGCTTATCGTTTAATAAAAGTGCAATGTGCCCGTTTCCATTGCACGTGTTGATGCTGAATTCCGAGATGTGAAACGAAACCACCTTTTATTACTTTGCATGCCGATTCTCGAGTTCTACTATTCACATTTTTCAGTTGACTATAGACATTAGTCGGAGTAAGTTAAGCATGGATAAGAAAAAACGTAAAGAAGGTGCCGAACGTATTCCCGAAAAAAACAAAAACTGTTGAAAAGTGAGGCCGAAAAATGTTCTAAATTAGATTCGTTTTTCAAAAATCAGTTAAAGTGCAACAGTGAAGCTGTGCCTATGTCTTCAACTTCTAAGGACAGTGACAGTGGTAGCGAATATGAAGAACTCGAAAAAACCGTAGCTACAGTGCCGACTGGATTTGACTGTTCAATCAAGGAATCGGAAGGTATTGAACTACATGAGAACGAAGATTCGATCAACTTCTTTATAAAACCAAAACCTGTAGACATCGATTTGTTCTTCGAATATCATCCTCAGCCGCAAGACGAAAATTTAAATTTACCTTTTCCTTCAAAAAAAGTTTATTTTTCTAAAGATGGTGCCCGTCGGTTACGGCTAACTTATGATATAAAGTCATCTAAGTTTTTTTGTTCAGTGTGTTTAGCCTTTACGAAACAGTCGGAGACAAACTCATTTTGCAATGGAACAAGCGACTGGACTCATATACACCAACGAATACTCGAACATGAAATCAGCAGAAGCCTACCTGCTGAGGTCTAAGGATAAAAATATTAAAGGTCTCTTGTTATCTGACTCAGTAAAATTAAGAAATGAACAAATTAAAAAAAAGGCTTGTCTTAGAAAGAGTTATAGATGTTATTAAAGTAATTAGAAAATGCGGTCTTAGTTACAGAAGTAAACGCATGAAGCGGCTTATACATTAGACGACTTGAATTTAAGCCATGGACATTTTTTAGAACTGGTGCTCTTACTGGCTAGGTACGATATCATACTTAAAGAACATTTGGATGAGGTAATTAGCAAAAGTAAGTTAGCTAGAGAAACATCCTTCATTAGACAATCAACAAGTAAACGAGGACGAGGAAATTTGTTAACTTCATTATCTAATAATGCAGTTAACCTCATAATACAAACAATTGGTTGTTGTATAAAGAAAATTATATCTGACGAAATCAGACAGGCTGAAATGTTTGCTGTTGAAATTGACACAACCCAAGATATATGCGTAAAACCCGGTACACACTTGAGCGCACATGCAGCGAGAACGCATGAGACGTACGTGCGTTCTCTAGTGTGGACGGGCTTCTCGCCTTTTCGCGACGTATGTTTTCTGTTTCACGAGACATTGCGAGCGCACATGTAGCGAGTCAAAACGTGTCGGTCTTTTGACATTTTTCAAACGACTCAACGCATGCATGTGTTCTCAGTTTGGACGGTGACAGTGCGAATGCAACATGTGCGAAGAGTGGAGCCATGAAAAATATTTGGAATTGGTGGATATTTACGAAAAATATCCACTATTGTGGAACGCGAAACATCCACAATATTTTTCCAAAAAGGAAAAACATAACGCTTGGGTGGAAATTGCGACAAAATTGGATATGGAGTTGCAAGAGGTGAAAAGCAAAATGAATAGCTTTCTGGGTTCCTTCAGAAGCCAGAAAAGCAAAGGAAAAAAACAGTAGGCAGTGGAAAAGGTAAATGTACAATAAAATGTTATTATTTCACAAAATTTATTAACTTCAGTATCTAATTAAAATATCTTAATGACTTCATTTGCAGGACGCCAGGAAGTATATGTGTCGAAATGGTTTGCTTTCCAGACAATGTTTTTACTTGACAAAGATGAAAGTCGGCCCACTGTCGACACTGAAACTCTGGTAAGTATAGTGAAAAATGAATTCAACTTAAGCGTAGTTGTTTTGCCAAGGTAGACATCCAGTAGTAGAAAAATAAATTCGTGTCGAACTGCCTTTGTATTTTCTGCTGATCTACGGGGAAGATTCCTGAGAGATAATAGAGATGTAGTTTGTTCGTTTAACGTTGTTCTCCAGGTACCAGGGACAAAATTTCCTGTTGTGTCATCAGAATCGAATGTTCCAGGTGGACTATAAAGATTTCTTGACAATGGCGATTTTCGTAAAAAGTTATGCAGATACACAACTGCTAAAATTGGTTTTCTTAACACTCGGAAAACTGAAGACGCAATCCCGAAAACATTTTCAACGACTCTTCGTGCTCTACTAAGTCGATAATTGAAAATTCTTTCTGGTGAACCCTTGCTGTGCATGCCGGCGTAAGGTTTCATAATATTTGTTGTTAACGGAAAAGCTTCGTCACCTACAATTACGTAGGGCATCAATCTATTTCGTCCTTCTAATGGCCCGTCGGCCGGCAATGATAATCTTCCTGTTTCCATCATTTTATGGAGTTTGCTATGTTTGAAAACACCTCCGTCAGAAATTCTTCCCTGGCACCCCACATCCACAAACAAAAAATTATAATCCGCGTCAACAAGAGCAAATAATACAATGCTAAAAAACGATTTATAATCAAAGTAATCACTTCCACTGTTTATGGGACATTGCGGTACGACATGTTTTCCATCCATAGCGCCAATGCAATGTGGAAAATTCCACATTTCTTCATATTGCTTTGCTATAACCTCCCACTCATTAGCCGTTGATGGCATCTAAAAAAAAAAAGAACAAATCACACTAGATCAGTTTAATAATTTTTTATAAAGTATATATAGTTAAAATTCTAACCGAAAATATCGATAAATAAAACGGCAATAAAAATTATGTTGGGAATTATATCATGGTGATTTGTAGGATGAAGTTGACGACTCGCAGAATGAAGCCGGTACGTCTCAAGAGGACTATGGAGAGGATACACTAACTGAACCATCAGAAAATGGTCCAGAAGATGTGCCTGTTCTTTCCACGGAAAATGTGAAGTCTCCACATGGAAGACCGCCTAAGCCTAAAAGAATGAAACACGATAAAGGCGACACGCAGCTGAACGAAGCATTGCAACTGCTGAAAGATACTCATAATCGGTACACTATGTCGCAATCGCAGTTACCAGCAGATAGGTTTAATATTTTTTCTCAACACATAGCAGCGAAGTTGAGAACATACACCCCCAGAACACAGGTGTATGTAGAACATGCAATTAATAATATCCTGTTTGAAGCCGATATAGGATACTACGATACTCCGACGACCAATCCTTTGTTAGCTACTGGTACTCGGTCCAGCTCTTCGACTAGCAGTGTCCCACTACTGTCACCGCAATCGCAATATGTGTCTGATAACTGTGTGCTTAGTCCGCAGTCATCACATAATACGGTTGCCGATGGAAATTTGTATCACTAATATAGTTAGTTTTACACAATTAAATATTTTATTAAAGTAATTACTATGGTTTCATTATCTAATATATATACATACCTTAACGTAATTCCGTAGGGCCTCGATTAAAGCACGACACACTTCTGGCACTATCATTGAAATTAACTGTTTTGATACTTTAAAAAGATGTTGTAGGCTCGTCTAGGAATCTCTAGTCGCAAGAAAACGGAGCGTTATAGCAAGACGCTCTTTGACTAGAACCGAATTTCTCAAGTATGTATTTTTCTTTTCAATCTTTGGACCAATCAAATTCAGTAGCACCTCAAAATCCGCAGACGACATGCGAACAAAATTCTTAAAATGTCCTGTATCTTCTTCTATCAGCATGGACTGTAGAAGATTGGAATCACTTTTTCTACTACTATATAGCGGTGTAATCCACCATCGTCTATTTTTCTTCTTTTTCTTGTTTAATGCAAATATACATAATGATGAAAGCTGCCCCCGCAATGACCACTTCATCTGCCATCTTTACTTCGAATGGTGTGTGGTCGTACGGGCTGAGCTCTGCCGAGAACGTACGCATGTGTTTAAATAAAAATACCAAAATCGACACAGTACCTGAGAACGCACGCATATTCATGCATTCTCACTGCATGTGCGCTCAAGTGTGTACCGGGCTTTAGAAATCAGTTATCAATTATTGTCAGATATGTAGTAAGCGTTCAAATAAAGGAATTCTTATTAGCTGTAAAGTCTACCACTTCCTCAACAGGTCGAGGTTTAAGGTAAACGTACCAGTCGCTGATACTGACCCAGTAGCTGACAGTTTTCGATGAAGTTGTCACAAACAAATGTTTATCCATGGCCGACTAGTATAAAGATTATGGCCTGTCCAAGAGGTACGATACGCGTTGCCATCTATTAATAAATTACACTTAATAATTTAGCAAAATTTTAATTTGACTTGACATTATGGGACTTCAAAACGTGTAATGGTGGTTTGTTTGGGTATGAATGCCTTTGTGCCTTTCAAAAGGTGTTAATAATTCTTTTGTCGATTTTGAATTATTAATAGATGGCAGCACGTATGGTACCTTTGGCATTCCTTTGGACAGGCCATAATCTTTATACTAGTCGGCCATGGTTTATCAATGGTTTCCGAAAATGTGGTTTGTTTCCATTTAATGCTGACGCTCTTGATTATTCGAAGCTTATGACCGCGGAACAAACACATCCTAAAGAAAGCTTGACACCAAAAGATAAATAAAAAAACCGACCAAGAAATTTTTCAGATATTGGAAAATATTATAGATAAAGACAAGCTGCAGGCTTTCAAATCCTGTCAAGGAGAGTGGTCAGGGGATATCAAAGATACATCGTTATTTTATCTCTGGAAAAAATTTCAGCGCTCTAATGCAGAAGAAGAAATGGTCTTACACAACTGCGAATGGCTGGACCAACTATTAGATGACAACAACGGTTCAATCTCCATTGATGTGGATAATTCTGAGGTCTCTAATGTCAGTTTCGATGAAAGTGCAAATATATCTCAAAATAATTCTGTGATAGTCAATGAAGAGGAACCTTCTAAAGAAGACACAGCAGATAAACTTACACCAAACAATGAAGACTCTTCGTAAAAGCAAAACCACAATGACTCAAAGCAGACTAAAGAGAATATTTTGGAAGCCAGTAGTAGTAAGATGAACAATCATTCTGAATACACACCGGATGAAAATCTTGAGAACAAAATTCCATTTGATGTTCCATCTCCATTTAAAAGAGTCTTATTTTGGTCTGATAAAGTTACACCTAATAAGAAACAATGTAGAAAAAAAGAAAAGGTTCCTTGCGTAGCAACATCAAATTTGTGGAAGGAATATTACTCCAAAAAAGAGAATGAATAATTGGAAAAGGAGAAAGCAAAAGAGGAAAGAAAAAGAAAACGGGAAGAGAATAAAAAAACAAAACAGGCTGCCACTAAACAGACTGTCAAACGGAGGAAACATTCCCGAATACATGACAATGGTGAGGAATCAACCTCTGAATTACCGCTTCAACCTTCAGCTCTTCAATCTTTTGACAAACAAAATCTGGAAATCAATTCTTACGTGATAGTCCTTTACGAAGAAGAATGTTACCTTGGTATTATTGAAGCTGTAACCAAAGAAAGCGTCTACGTCAATGTTATGACAAAATCAAAATGTGGCAACTGGAGATGGCCACAAACTCCCGATAAACTGTACAATAAAGATACTGATATTATGCAAGTAATTAATCCACCCCAACAGATACAGTCGTGGTATTTTCAAAGTTCTTGAATTAGTTTCTTAGTTAAATATTCTATTTTTTTGTTTACTTATTTTATATTTTATTAAATTTTTTTGTTTTCTCAACTTTTTTGATAATTTATTGGACTTATTTTGTTTTTGATGTTTGTGTTCTTTGTTTTCTAACTGAAATTATTTTTATTTTAATAAAGTTTTTTTTTAAGCGTTAAGTTTTTAAAACTTTAGATGGATCTTCATTTACTATCTCCAAATTACTTTAGTGAAATTAAACGTGGCAATTTTCATTCAGACTCTGCAAAATTTAGCTGAAAAATTATCGGGGGGTGTAATTAGTGAATCCGAGCTGGTCCACGGACCACAAAATATAAGAACGCGTCAACTGAGGCACGTCAATCATCATCAATCTACAAGAGCGCACATAGCAGTGGAAGTCAGCAGCTGATCACCACGAAGTGCAGCAGAAAAGGTCAGATTTTACCATTTCATATCCCGTTTCCAACCCGTCTGTATTTTTTGTGGAAATTTGTGCATTTTTTGAGGTCTTTAAATATCAAACATGACTAAAGCAAAAGACGTAGCTGCCTATAAACATGAAAGAACCCAAATTATTAATCTTTTACAACGTATTCAAAATTTTACAAATAATTTTGACGAAAATAGAGATATCAGTTTAATTAAATAAAGGGAGACATACGGTTGCAATTGGCGCGTTCAAGGAATTGTGTGACGTTCAGTCATGTATAGAACAGGGTGCTGCAAATGCAACAGAGTTGGAAGAGGAAGCAAATAAAAGTGTCGATTTTGAAATGAATTTTTTCTATATTGCTGAGCGCTTTATTTGCGTGAATGACTGACCCAAAAATTGTCCTTAAATGCCAGCCATTCTGAAAACGACCCACTAAATTCTGGTAATGTTAATACCGGCAATTTTATTTTTGTTTGATCATTAGTGGAGTTACTGTGGAACCACCTTTGTCCGTATTCGCCTGGTGCCGTCTTAATAACGATTCAATTGCAGCAACCGTATCATAATATATATTTTTGCACTCATGACCTTTTTTGATGACTTTTGCGCATTCACCAGGATGCGGGAGGTCGAATTTCCCGCACACGTGCATTTTAACTTTCCGTTGCCATGGTAACCTTAAAATAGTCGGGTAGTGTCAAGATTGTGACATGTTTACGCCGTTGTTTAGAAATAACTCACAGTTAATCTCTTCTGTTTAAAGGTTTATTCGTTGCAAAAAATATTGTACACAACACGTTCGTGATGCCTGCTTCCCGCATTCACGCAAATGCGGCACTCCCTTCGGTCGTGCCGCAAACAAGCGTTCATGCGGGAAGCAGGCTATCCCGAACTAGTTGTGTAAATTACTATTATTTGAGGTCAGCTTTAAACGGTGAAGCCTTGCGGGCGATTGATGCAATTGCGGTTTCGAGTGCAAACTATGACGCGGCTTGGAATATTTTACAGAAAAGATATGAAAATGAGAGATTGTTAGTCCACACCCATGTTAAAAATATTCAAAAATCGCAGGCGGTACCAAAACCTTATGCCGAGTTATTGAGGTCATTGTGTGATAACATTACAAATAATAGTGAATCCCTCAAAGTATCCCAGTCGACCAGTGGGACGCAATACTCGTCCTATTATCACGGAGAAATTAGATTTTCAATCAATAAAAGAATGGCAGTCAAAAGTAACCAATAAATTACCAACATTTAAAGAACTAACAGAATTTTTGGAATCACGTTGCCAATATTTAGAGTCGTTACCTCGAAGCAGTCATAATTCAGATTCTACTAACAAAGGTCGCTTAAAACAAAATTCTAATTTTAAAACAAGGTTGTTTCTAGTGTTCATGCCGCAGCATCATCCACTTCAAGGTTATATTGTGCTTTATGTAAAAAAACAAATCATGCGCTTCATAATTGTACAAAATTTTTAAAACTAAGTGTAAGCGAAAGAATAGATCAGGTAAATAAATTAAATTTATGTAACAATTGCTTAAAAACTGGTCGTAACGTAGAAAATTGTAAGGGTAATAATTGTAAACATTGCCAGGTCAAGCATAACACTTTACTCCATTTTAGTGAGCCAGTTGTATCAAACCATTGCAGTTCGCGATCAGTTTATTGTGAAAATTTGTTATCGACGGCGATAATCCTAGTACAAGATAAAAAGGGGAACCTACATGAATGTAGGGCCTTTTTAGATGGAGGTTCTCAATCCAACTTTATTACTAAAGATCTCTGTGCAAAATTAGGTCTGCCCACAAAACAAACGCATCATAAAATTACAGGAATAAATTTCTTGTCCAGCACATAAAATCAAAATTTTATAAATATGATACGGAAATTGATTGGTTGGTAACGTCAAATATCACCAGAAATTTACCGTTAATGTTGTTTCCAAAGGAATCACTCCAAATTCCCAACAACATACGGTTAGCAGACGAAAATTTTAATATTAGCAGCAAAATAGGTTTATTTCTCGGAGCACAATTATTCTTAGATAGGGTTGGGAAAATACAACTACAACCTCATAAAATCTACCTGCAAAATTCTGTCTTGGGATACTTAGTTGGGGAGAATTGCTTGTGAACAATGCAACGGGTTCGTCTTACTGTCATTTGGCAATAAATGCAAAGGATAATTCCCAAATCGCCGAACAAGTAACACGTTTTTGGGAGGTCGACTTATATTTACCCACCCCTGCACGGAGGAGGTAAGTTGTCTCCCAAATGTACAAATTTCTAAAAACCACAGGTAAATTGTCTCCCGCACCCAATCCTACATTAGGAGTGGTTTAGTTGTAAAAAACACCTCCTACCCTTAATTTACCTGTCTTCAAATTATTGAGTTGTAATTTAGTTTTG